AATTAATCCGAGAAAGTAATTGACAAATCTCGATATTAATCCCTATATCGCTTTTCTATTTTCTTTTTCTGTCAAATAGTTTTAAAATTATCTTCCAACTATTAATTATTATTAATTAATTAACGCCTCTATTAATTTCTGTTTGTTTTCTAAATATATTACATTCTTTGCTTTAGTACATACGTTGAACGTACTTCACTATGCAGATATTTATTCCAAAGTTACAGTTTAATCTTAAGATAAAAAATCTTTTATCATAAGTATTTTATCCCGTATTTTGAGACTCTAACAAATCCAAAGGCGAAGAGCAACAGATTTAATGTGCCTTAATTATATCGAAGGACTAAAACAACGCGGCGGTATTTCGCATTTCTTTTTAATACTCTCTTATCGACAAAGCTCATTGAAATACAAAAATCCTATGCACCCGGTATTATCCGACGGAGAGGCTTATTTCGCCGACGATTGATCCCGAATCTCCATGCCGGTGCCACGGGGGTGGGATTCCGCAAGGACCACGATCGGTGGCGGCGGCCGCGGCGGCGGCACATCTCGAATCCTCGAGGATTAACCCCTCTCGATTTATTTCGACCGATCTAACTCACTCTCCGGCCGCCCACGCCGCCGAGAGGAATCTTCGCGGTGACACTTGAGGGACGTGATGCTGATAAAGGATCTCCATTCGCCGGGGAAGACTGGCCTGTAGCCGGTGCGGCTGTAGTCGCGCGCTTCCCTCCCTCCCCTTCTTCCTGCCCCGAGTTACGGGGGGAGGGGGGGGGCTATCTTGACCCGCGTTCCCGTGAATGCGCGCATTGTCCGCATTGTGTGCCGCCCGATGACCGAGCTAAGGATACCGCAGGCCGGGATGTTGGGCGGGAGGGATCACAGTCGCGTGACGCGCGTCGCTGCGCCGCGTCGTCATTTATCTCGCGCGGAATTTCAGATATTTCCCCGGGACACGCGGGGGGCGCGATTATTGCAAGACAAGCGACGTGTAATTAACACGAGGTGTCCCGGAATAAACGACGGGGAGGGAGGGTTCACGCACCGCGCGCATCGACGACGCGTGTATGCACCGACGACCGAGAGGGCGGCCGAGCCAGGCCGAGCGGAGCAAATTCCAAATAATCCATTGCCGATTCCGGCGATCGTTTCCTCCTCCCCCACCCCCCCCCCTATCTCCCTTCGTGAAACTATCGGAGAACTGTTCGGCTCGATTACGTCGCGGCGTTTAGCGGCGGAATTGCAAAATTTCATCTATCGCACCCGCGATGATGGATGCAACTTCGAGTCTCCGATACCGTGTCATGCACGCGACACGCGTTGTGATGCCTCTCCGGCGCGCGCGAAAATTGCGCGTATATATACGCGAGTGTCTGCCGCGGATATAATTACGCTAACAAGCCGGAACACGTTGGTAGCAGACGCTCGGCGCGGCGCAACGCGGCGGGCGCCTCGTTTAATCCTTGCGGAGAATCGCAATCTCCGCGCATTCTCCGCGCCTCAACAAAAGATTTTGTATCTACGTCTGCACATCCTTTGCCTCACCTCTCCCCCCCTCCCCTTCCCCTCTCCCCCGCCGTGTTGTTGTGCTTACCGCCTTTCGTCGGGCTCGTCGCCCAAAGTAAGCGGCGCATATTCCGGCGACGTCGTCGCCGCGCGCATCTGCGAATGACAGCAGTTGTTTCCAAGTTTATCCCGAAGCCGCCGGAACGTATCCAGCCTCTTAATTCGCTCGTCTACCACCGCCGGTGGAGGTAGCCGGGAGGAGACACACGTATATGATAATCGCCACGTATCCCGGCAAAGCCGCGACGGGCGAGACGATCTCGCACGTGAGTCCCTCTTTCTCTGTCTTCTCCTCGTTAGCATTAATTTATACTATTATTATGCCGATGCGGTTTCAGTGACTTAAGGCAAGCGAGAGAGAAAAATGTACGGAAAAATTTAATCACGTCAGAACGAAGTTCCCGAAAGAAGATGAAACTTCCGACGTAGCGGACGAGGCGAATAAAATTATTAAAAGAATTTCACAGCACGGAAATAATGAAAGCATTACGAAATAAAGATAAGCGTGATAATATCAATAATAAAAAAAGAACGAGATATTGACTGTCGTCGAGTCAACATTTGTTCCATTAAAATTTTGTTCCCTTTGTTGTAATAAAACAGTGGATCTCGTTAATGTAAGAATGGTATTGCGGATCGTGAAAATCTCTCGCGAAGCGAAGTCCGTGCGAAACGCCGGAAAGTAGGAATCGGGACTGCTGCGCCGGAAAGCTCTAAATTTATCGCCAATAGCTTCCTAGGTGCGCGAAAAGCTATCTTTGATCTCTCTTTCTTTCTCTCTCTCTCTCTCTCTTTCTCTCTCTTTCTTGCGCTGATTTATAGATCCGACTTTAATATAGCGAAAAGGGCGAAAATCGACTCGCGAGAAATAGCGGGAGAGAGATAGAATTCTTCTGTATTTCGCTTATACCTCCACCTGGATGTTAACGCTAAAACACATCGTGTACTCTCTCCTTTTTTCTTCCTCCTCGCGAAACGAATCGTTAACCGGAAGCAATCCCTTCGTTGTGGAATAATCGACCGTGATTCGTTTCCCTTCCGTCCGTGCCACGGGCAGCCAGCGATCCCCTGTCCCCGGGGGGACAAAGCCAAATGCCCGTCGTATCGGGTAAAATTACGAGCAACTTAATCCCCCCCCCGTCTTCATTTCTTGCTTCCGCATTCTTTCGCGCCGGACGCAGAAAATTTCTGGATATTCCGCACACGTAGACAATCGGACTAAACTTCCCTTTAATACGTTTCCGCGAACATATGCCACTCTAATGAAAACGATAAAAATATTCTCCCACAGGCTGTCTGTCATTTTCCTTATAACGCGGTTGTAATTACATTATTAATTTGAATAAAGTGTTGTGCGTTTTCGGAACGACATAATTTACTACGCGAAAATTCTCGATTGAAATTATTAAATCAAATTGTATGTTTATCCTTCCTAATAACGAATTCCACGAGTTTTCTCGGCCCTCGAGCGAAGAATTATTGTATTTTTCCGGTTCGTTGAACTCGACCAAAGAAATGTACTGTGTTTACTTTTTCCACACGAGTATTCCCGACCATCATAATGATTAATAAACGGTTGACAAATGACACATCATTTGGTTGGAGTCATTTGATCCACAGTTTTGCGTATCGTTCCCGATCCAGAAATAACGATGACCAAATCAAGCTTGATTTAAACTAGTTTAAACCGCCAAGAAATATGATTAATTACGATCCCATGAAACTATGTAACAACGTATAACACGTGCGCGTTGTTGGATATTTTATTACGTATATTTCAATTTAAATAAAATAGATGGGAAGACAAAAAGTTGAAATCTGCTTTCATCCAGGCCTAGTAAATACAATTTATTTGAAAAGGGATATTTCGATTTTATGTTTCAGCTCAAACTTGTAAATTTTACGCTGTGTATCGTTCAAAATGAAGAGTTTTACGATGACAAACATTTGTATGGAATATATAAAAAAATTGTAACAATTTGTTCTGATTTTATTTGAATGATGTCAGTTTTTCAAATACGAAGTTATAGATCAATTCATTTTTATCACCAAACTTTACTCTTTTCATTTTATCGAAAATTCCTGAACTATATTTCTTCGCAATATTTTGACAGTCCACGTTTAATAGTCTAAGACTAAAATATTCGTTCTAATTTATTGCAGCCGATTCAAGACAATGATTCTATTAGATTATATACATTCGCCTCACAAGGGGAAGGCCAGGTCAGTGCATCACTGATCCTGATTTCAATTTTTTTGGTGAAACTAGAGGCAAAATAAAGATATAGTGTCCGAGTGTTTGATTGAATGGGTTAATTTTCGAGTAAGAATTTTCGAAAAATAATTTTTTAAATAATAATATGCAATATTTAATAATAAAAAGCGATATATTTCTTCCATTCAACATCGGTTATAATAATGCTTATGAAAAAATATAAATTTGTAAAAAAGTCGTACATTACAAAATCAGTAAAAAATGAAAAAAAAATTTTTTTTAAATGCGTATTTTTATTTTTATTTCATTTTTTATTACTGATTTTGTAATGTACAACTTTTTTACATAAAAATTTGTATTTTTTCCCAGGCATTATTATAACCGATGTTGAATAAAATTAATATATTGCTTTTTATTATTAAATATGAAATATTATTAATTAAAATTTATTTTTCGAAAATTAAAGCCCATTCAATCAAACGCTCAGACGCTATATCTTTATTTTGCTTCTACATTGCTTCATCAAAATAATTGGGATCAACATCCGTGATGCACTGACCTGACCTTTCCCTTGTCAGATCTCAGATTAAAATAATAAATAATTTGATTTTATATATAATTTAATTTTTTTACTTGTATAATGAGCAGCAGCAGAATTGTCCAAAGCTTCCGAAAACTCCCTGCTTCTCTCGCTTCTTTCATGGCACTCACACTTAATCGTGATCGCGCGTACGCTAATTACTCGAATGCGGCAAGCTTGAGGTGTTTCACGGACATTCTTTATATCAAGAGATGTATATCTTCACGAAGTGGGAAATATTACGAAATATAACTTATAATTCCTATTCCCAATCATCAATTCCTACGAGTAATAAGACGAGCAATATCCAATGCGATAAGATACCCTCTTTGACAGGTACCTACTCGTCGCTTGCGGATCATCAATCGAAAGAGTTAATTATTCTTGTCGTTTGAAAAATATTCTTGGGATATTTTATATTAAACTACTAGTAGCTCCTTTACGGAAAATATACTTGGCGCGAGATGATACCACATCTCTTGATCGAGTGGTAATAAAACGTGGAGCGGCCTCACGCACTACCTGCGTGCTCAAATATGAGTTAATAAATGATAGCGCGGTGATCTTACACAAACAATAAGGCTATAACGTCGAACGTTTATCATTAAGCATTATTTATGAAAAAACTACATGACGTTTAATGCCTTGCAAAGTAATATATATTTCATTCAATATGTTGTCGCGAGCTAAGCAGCGATTATGGCTTATAAGCATCAAATTTCGACGCGCGCACTTCTACGAAATACATAATATTATTATTCATAAACGGTATCTTACAATTCCTATTACAATTCCGAACGACACATTGATTCCTACATAAAATGAATAATATCTAACGCGAAAATATTCGTTGCAGATACTCATCGCTTGCCGTTGATCGGAAGAATTAGTTTGCGCGTGCCGGCAGCCCCTAGTCGTTTATAAAATATTATCGCGTTTTGTAAAATACTAGTTCTTTACAATAAATACATGGCACGAGGCGTTGAGAGGGTGATAATAAAACAGCAAGCGCGACCTTGCTACCTGCGTACTCATCGGTTAGCGAGTGATAATGCGGTGACTTTACGTAAACTGGGCGCCACGACGAAATATTCAAAATGTCTCGTAAAGTATAGTACGTCGAATAATTCATTGTGTCGCGAATGACAGCAGCGGATACGGTCTCTTTGTTATTTGAATCACCAGGCCGACGATGCGTGACTTACAATTAGTGTTCTCCACTTGAATGGGAAGACCGCATTCAACTATCATCGAAGTCCATTTTTGATAAGTTGCATTCTAATCTTGAGATTAACTGGTAAAAAATTCAGCACACAACGCATATCATTAAGATAATAACTACCGTACATATTAACATATCTCAATGTCAATGGAAATTACATTGTTCATTCCCTGCCGCTTCGATTCTTATGTCAAACGAATAAAAAGCAACGATGCACGTTAACGTGTGTCAATCAATTTGTCGTCGCCGTGAAATATTTAAATGCACCACCGCATTTTACACATTAAACTGCAAATTTATACGATTAATTATAATAATACAAATATTAAGCGTGGCGCTTCTGACACCCGTTTCCATCCGCGATCCACTCTCTTTTCATGAATAAAAATTAATGAGAAACACGAAGCAATTTTGATGCATTTCAGCAGTTCGTTGCGCGAAATATCGTTTTTGATTCATATAAAACGAGCAGTATAAGTATCAATTAATTTGCCGTGACCACAAATCGAAAAATGTGTCTGTGTGTTTGTGTGTGTGTGTGTGTATTGTTAATTATTTCTGCTCACATCATAAATACGAAATATAAAAACGATCAGCTGATGTCTGAATTGAAAATACGCAAAATATACTAAATAAAAATAAAAATATACCAAATAAAATTTTATACCGCAGCAAATCCCAGAAACCAAATCGGAAAACTATGAATATTTTTCGAAATTTTGAGCTCCTAATTTGTTGAATTCCTACTGCTTTTCCCCAATAAAAATTTGACTCGATATAATTTGAATCTTGCTATCCCGATGTTCCTTAATTAATGAAAAATCCTATTCTAAACGAGACTTCGTATTTGAAATGTGAGAAACTCGGGACGCATCCCATACAAGTATATACCTTTCATTTCCTTTGATCGCCCTTTCTCTCCCATCCACGGCAATAAATATCATCGTCTCGCGCTTCATTCTTGCGTCACCGGTCTCCTTTTATTTTTTTACGGTACCATTCGCGCTCGCGTTCGCATCGATCTTCGTGTTTCTATGAGTCGACGTCGCATCGTCAAGCGCGACAAATAAAAGCCCCGGGCTCGCACATACGGACCACGCGATTCTCACCGGCAATATTTAACCAGTCCGGGTTCGGGTGTGTCAAACGTACTCGTCGATAATCGCCTTCGGCGAAAATTGATGGGAGGAGAAGGGGGGGCGGGGGACGACCTCGTCGCCCGTGGAATCCTCTGTTTTCGAAATTGCGATGTCGGAGCGACGGCAAAATATGAAAACGAAACGCGCGGGCGCATAGCACGAATGGCCAATGTCTCTCTCCCACTCGCGCCGATCAAATCGATTCACCCTTAATGTCCATACGTTTTTAATTAAATAAATAATTACATTGTGCGCGCGTACTCAATTAATAAGGGAATTTTAATAAATTTAAATAATTATTTAATAAATTTCTCCATGTCTCCAGTGTGGCATACAATTATTTCTTGAGTATATTTAGTTATCTAATACATTCGCGTCAATACGTGTGTATCGTATAGTTATGTATAAAATATTTTGATATATTTAAAGACATCATATGTGTGTATCGGTTGTATATAAAATATTTTGATTGTAAAATGCAGCGGCAGATCAGTAGACAAGTGAAAAGGGCATTGACGCCTATAATATTGCAATTACTGTTATAATTGCTCGAATTATATTTCATTGATATCTTACTTATTAAAAATATTGTATAAAATAATCATAGCGATACGATGGAATACTGCTCACAATTGCTCGATATACTAAATATACAAAATTACTGTGTAATTAAAGATATTTTTTTTACTGACTCTACTGATACCTAAAAGAATACAAAATGCCTCTGGTTAGTTCAATTCCCTGGTCCAATCACCCACACCAATCACCCTCACCAACCACTCGATACTTTTCTCGCTCTTGCAGTAAATACATTAATTTTAACTAAATCATGCATTAATTCCCATCATGGATGTTCGCTTCGTCAGGAGCGAAGAAATATTCGTCCCGCTAAAAACTCTACTGTACATTTTCCTCAATTATCTAACTCTTAAAACGTACTTACATATTTCCGCTCTACTAAAAGAGAGAGGGAAACTAATAATTGCTAAATCAAAATTGCCGGAAAATAGAAAGGTATTTACAAATTTAAGCTCGATTCAAATTTTCGGATAATTTTGTTTCCGAGACCGAACCGATTTTTAAAAGATTTTGTTTCCTGTATTCGCTCGAAATCTCGATCTCCATAAGCGAATGACCGTCCAAATCTCTCCCCATGGAGAAAACCGCGTAACTATACACTTGAGAATCACATTGATTCGCTCCTTTCTTGTTTCATTGAGCTCATACATACAAATCGCGCATATTGCCGTGGCGTCAAAGATAAACGCAGAATACTATCACAGTAATCGCCACGGAAATGCACGCCACGAGAGCGCACAGCGAGGCACAGGAGAGGCTTTACCGAGTGAAAAAGAAAACGTAAAATTAATTCCAATTAATTTCTTGCGTCTAGTTCGAGAGCGCAAGGCCTCTGGAGCTTAAGTTTAATTAAACGGCCACACTATTCAAAACGTGTCCATGTGGATGGTGTCCATGCTGGAGTACATATTTGGCACGCTGTTCCTGCTGCCCTGGCCGAAGACGGTCACGTCGACGGCCTCGTCGTCCAGCTCCTCCGAGAAGGTCACCAGCACCTGCACATTCCACAGCAGATTACGTGACGCATAATTCGCGCGACTAATTATCATTAAAAAAAATCAACTCGACCGTTGCGAAGAAATTGGACAAGGATTTTTGCCGTGCGTTAGACTTTATAATAAATTGTGTGTCCCGCATATTCTCTTCTAGAATTAAAATTCCCGCGGCGTGTGGGGGGAAGGGGGCGGAATGTGGGGAAAATAACAAAACAATTTCACTCGTAATGCTGCAGTTTTTCGGCGGGTAATTTTCTTCTCTTCCTCTCGTAACGAACAGATCCGCCGGGATATTTTTGTGCAACGCAATTTCACGTTGCCGATCAAACGTCTTTCGCGTAACGTCCGCGCCTGTGCAATTATCGCGCGGTTGCGAGTCGCGAGAACTGAAAGTTCCGTTGAGAGAACTAGGTGCGCGAAACTTTCAGTCGTTGTGCGTCGCTCGCTGCAATTCCGTGCGTGCTTCGCGTTTGAAACACGTTCTCGCGCAACTGCGAACGGCGACGGGCGGGTGGGCCACGAAGGGCTTTACTTGCAACGAAGACCCATAAAAATCTCAAAACTTTTCCGGCCAGCGCCAAGTTCCCGCCTCCCCTCCCCCTGCTGCCCCGGTTTACATACAAGCACGATGGCGATACTGCAAAAAATTCTCTACTTTGTTTGCGAGATCGCCGTACCCGTCTTTGCGTCACGGTGAGAAATGCATTTACATAATGTCCTGACACCGCGGGCAAACTTGGTACGATCTTTTTCTCGGAAGATATACACGCGCCGAGCTGGCTATCTAACGAGGTATTGGTATCGATACCGTAAAAATTATTGATACGCCGCGCTTACGATTGTATTTTAATTATTATCACACGCACACGAGAAATAGGAACTGAGCTGAAAATGCAATTGAAAATATCGCCAATAATACGCGGAGTACATTAATATTAACTTACGATTGAAATACAGACTTGAAATGCAAAATTACTTCTTTGAAATATTACAGTCAGCCAATTTCTTAATCAATAAAAATAATATAATATTCATAGAGTCGCAACCTCCTGACTTAATTTGTCAAAAAAAAACGTTTATTAAAAATTGAAAAATAAATTATATTTGGAAGCTAACTTGAGAAACTCTCAATAATTTCATTGAATTTACTCTTGGCACCGTGGCGAACTCTCGCCACTCTCCGCAATTCAGCTTTCAGATATAATTCAATTTTCAATTGTGGATCCCATTTATGTTACATGCCCCCGATTTTCCGAAGGATGAATGCGGTCGCGAAAACCGCCGGAGCTAGGGAGACTTCGCGGCGGATAGTTTTCCGCGGCGCGCGTTGCGGTAATCTAGAAGTTCTTAGATTCGGCCCGACCCAGTTTACTACCGTACTTAGGACTTAATTTATATTCCGAACCGCGCTAAACTTGAGCTGTTGCTATTGTCGTTACTCTAGAAGCTTACAAAACAACGGGCGGGTTCATGGCAGCCCTTAATGTTCGCACGGACCAAGTTTTCAAGAAGTACGGGATGAATACGTGACGCAAGTTTGTATTTAACGACGATTTAAATACGCCCAGAGGAGAGAGGACAGATGACGGTGTTTTTCAACGCGGAAAACGGGACGAGCGTATAAACTTCCCTCTCGCTAATAACAATTAGCAATGATAATTAATCCTCTCTCGTCCCGAAGGCCACTCCTCCCGAATTCGAAGAGGTTATACCGAGATGCAATTGCGCGGTAAACTGTCGCGTGCGTCAATATTTTCAGAATGAACCAATTACCGGTAGAAATTGCCAAACGTCACAGGCTGATAGATCGAGCTCGTATTATTCGGTCGAAAAGCGATTCTATTTCTGATGACAAAAAGGCTTCCATAAAACCACTTCGCGTTTCAAGTACTGAATTTCTATCACTTTTACTCAACGTGCGCGCGCGCGCGTCCATCTTATAAGCGATCAATTAAGCCCCCATTATTCATTCGCATTCGATAACGCTCCTCTTGAATTTCTCGCACGTTTCAGCCTGCTCTCTCTCTCTCTCTCTTTCTCTTTCTCTCTCTCTCTCTCTCTCTCTCTCTCTCGGTGGATATTGATATTTTATTCGCGAGTGTTCTTGTGTCACAATCTTCTAACGGATTTTGTTAGATTTTTATGAAATCTATTTTGTCTGAATCTTTTGTCAAACTCTTAATAACGCGAACGAGTTCATTAAATATATAGTTTATTATAAAGATTGCATTAGTAAAGAATGAGAAAAGAGTAAAGAAACAAAAAAGAGCATTTTTATTGCATTTCACGTTTCTTATTTTGTGAAAATTAAATCGCACCCATTTGATCGGGGTCGATCGATCACTCCGAGCAACGAATTCAATTCCCAAGCCTTCCCTCAAGCGTCGGACGGTTCGTTTCGCGATCTGGAACCGGCTTCTTAGAATTCTCAGCCGTAGAACTGTGAAGGATAGTCGGAAATGGATCGCGTACGCTTTTCGCGACCGGTAAAGATCTACATACCCGCGCCATGCCGACGATTTCGCTGTCGCACAACTCGCCGTTGCGTGATTTATGATCGTCGCTCGCAACCAAGTTGCGAAACGCTGAATGATGTATTGTTGAAAGGAGTTGCGAGACAAGTAGAAAAAAAAATATATATATACATTGTATATCTTTGTCGTTAATTCCGTTACTCCATTCAATTTATTCCCGCGAGAAGTATTTTCGCGTGTCGTCCGGTGACGCAATAAATTCCTAATCCGCGCTCGTATATGCACAGTAAAGTTCACTTTCCCTTTACGACACGCGAGCGAAATAGATACTGCGCTGCGTTCCAGCGGGTAAATCGGGAATGGATAGAAAACGACCGTGAATAATTTTACAGCGTAAAATATAAAATAGCGCTTGCCGTAAAGTTTCATTTTAATCTCGTTTCATTACTCTCCGGCCGGGGAGGACAGCGCTTTATATATATAAAATCCGAATTTGTGAAAAGAAAAAAAACAAAGCGAGGAGACTGCAAGCTTTGTGCATCGTTGTAATGACCATTTCTTTTTTTTTTTAAGCTAATATCACGCCGTCGCGCGAATCCTCACCTCGCGCAGACTCGCGCGGACTGAATTTTTTCGTTTAATTTTCGGATTTCGTCCGGACGACGGAGAGATGCGCCGCGCACACAATTTGCGAAAATAATTAATAACGTGTAATATCGTGACCTTCGCGTTCGAGAGCGATGTTAATTAAAGCTAAACGTCTTCGTACGAAGATTTATTACATAAGAAGTTTTTTAATTAGTCTCAAAATTGAAATTTTTCTTTATTAACCGGCTTATGCAAATGCGGCCGGCGGGTGGTGGTAAATTTCGCAAAGAAGAGTCGCGAAGAGCGACGGAAGAGAGTTTTGGCGGGATAAGACGCGAGGTGGCCGCGCAAAATGCAAATTTTAGCGTCCAACTGCCAGCGTCGCGCGTGCATCCCCTCCCGCGTATGCGAATGCAATCCTCCCGCGACAGACGGACACATTGGACATAATTTGTCCGTCCGTAAGTTGGACACACGGACCACTCGATTACACGACGGTTGCGTCGTTTCAAAAAGAAAAAAAAAAAAGAATTTTATTCCCGGGTAAAAACGCGTTTCGTGAGCTTTACGCGCGAGGGAAAAAGCGCGCGCGACGTTACACGTCCGTTTGTAAGTATACGGACATCACGCGGAAAGAGAGAGAAAGAGAAAGAGAAAGGGAGATAGGGTGGTCTGCAATTTCGCATAATAAGCGCAACCTGGCGCCCCTGGATTTACCGGAACGACGTGCGAGGGCGGATTCGAAACAGAAGGGATAAAAAAATTCTTTGCTCACGGTAACGCGACGGTGTGATGGCGCAACCGTAAAAGAAAGCCACGCGGCGCGGCGTGACGCTTTCACGTGATTTTAATTTGATTGCAGTTAATTCGATTGCACTTCAACTGCATCGTCCCGGTCGTGCGCTCGCGGCCGAATAATAACGTTAAATACGCGACTTCGAGAAATGCGCGCGCCGCGCTCGTCGAAGGGACTTCGGCGCTTTGACGAGGCGCATTCACGGCGAGAGTCGCGCTGACTTGCGTACGCGCCAACAATGTGCATTTACCGAGGAGCGCCGTGCAATCCGGCTCGCATTGAAGCGACGTGAAAGACAATCGTCATTGCAACATGCACGGCCGCGCAAAGGCTTCGGCATGTAAGGCGGAATATGGGGGAGGAGAGCAGGGAGAGGAGAAGCGTATCGCGCGCGTAAGATTTACACTCGGCAATTTCGACAAGAGATTCGGGCTTCATTATTCAGATGGTGAATTACTTCGGAGGAGTGGGAAAAGGAGAGATCAGAGGAACAGGGAGAGGGGGGGGGGGAGTGAACGGTTAATTAACAACAGTTTTCGCAGGGGCGGGAGGAAGGGGGAGAAAAGGGTCGGGAACCGCGCGTTTATACAGCTACCCGGAAAGCATTTAGGCGAGCTTAGAGGCGAGCAGCCGGTGTGGGAAGAGCGAGTTTCCCGCCTCCCTGTAGCATGTAAACCATCGCGGCGTGGGTGTGTATGTAAGCGAGCTACGAGACGGGCGGATCCATTAATATCCGTCAGGGATCGGTGGGACGAAAACGGCGGGATCGTCTTCGGACGACAGGAGGAGGCGCCCGTGCGCCGGCGGTGCATCATCTGCTGAAGACAAGCCCTTAGAATATCGTCGCGGCGGCGCGGCGCGCATTCACCGCGGCGAATGTTCACCCGGGAGGTCACGTCGCGGGAATTAAATATCGCGGTACCTAAGCCTGCCTCCCCCCCCCCTCTCCCCTCTTCCCCCTCGGTAGTTGCACGCGTATCTCAAATACTCCCGACTCGCGGCTTTCGAATTTCGAAAGTGATAAAATCGTGGGCATCGAACCGACATATAATTTCACGTACGACAATACCGCGCTTCGATTCGCGGGAGCACGTTCGAAATAATAGGAGAGAGACGAGGGGGCTGTACATTTGAAAATCAAAATTTGGAACGAGAATCCACGGAGCGCGCGGAGTATCCGTCCGGAATTGGATTCACTGACCTGATCCAACGAGCTCTGTGTAAGCGTGTAGTCCGTGGCCTTAAGCTCCTCCGCCAGGAGCTTCAGCATGCTGAAGCTCACGCTGAGCGCCATGTCCTGGCTGCGCGGTAGCAGGAGCCGAGCAGCCGTCGCTTGCCTCGAGGAGATCATCGCCTGTGGCAGATATTTCAGGATAACCCTCCTAAGATCCGTGGCGGTGACTGGCTGGCCGAATCTCAGGAAGGCGACGTATCCTTCGCCGAATCTAAAAGTCAAGTCCGGCTTTACAGTTTTCAAGGCAGGTTCTAGCTCGGCGCACCGCGTCAAATGACACGTCGAATTAACCGTGATGATCGTAATAAAGAAGCACAGCGATGGAGTTATTCTGATACAGAAGAGCTGTGTTAAGAGATTCGCGCAGAGATTGTAAGATAAATAGATAGATAGATAGAATGAATGAATAATAATATTTATTAGCTTTCTCAGCTATTTACATACATAATATATATCTTACAGTATCTTAAAGTATAGGCAGCACAGTCATTATATGTTTCTTTAACATACGCTTAAATACTACAAGTCTATCGCATCGCTTTAATTCATTCGGTATGGCATTATACATTTTCACACCCTCATAGAATAAACTTTTTTGTGCGCTTCTTGTTTTCTAAAATCTATTCTAATATTTCTGATTGTCTCGTTTGCCTTTTCGCTTACTTCTCCTACTACAACTAATTTATTTCCTAAATGCTCCGGCATTATACCGTTTAATATTTTAAAAATAAGATACACACGTTGTAATACAATCTACGCCTGAGGGAGAGGGAGAGGGAGAGGGAGAGGGAGAGGGAGAGGGAGAGAGAGAGAGAGAGAGAGAGAGAGAGAGAGAG